GTTGCTGCTGCTGCTGCTGCTGCTGCTGCTGCTGCTGTTGCTGCTGCTGCTGCTGTTGCTGCTGGTGCTGCTGCTGGTGCTGGTGCTGCTGCCATTTCTGTTGCTGTTGCTGTTGCTGTTGCTGTTGCTGCTGCTGTTGCTGCTGCTGGTGCTGGTGCTGGTGCTGGTGCTGGTGTTGGTGCTGGTGCTGGTGCTGGTGCTGGTGCTGCTGTTGTTGTTGTTGGTGTTGTTGGTGTTGTTGTTGGTGTTGTTGCTGTTGCTGCTATTGTTGCTGCTCTTCATGTGGAAATTCAAAATGGTCCGGCAAGAAACGAGTCGTTGGCCGTACAACTGTGCCTACCGCCGCAAAGGCCATGGCTGCCAGCAGGCAGGACCAGGAGGGAAGGTGATGCTAGCTGGCAGGACCAGGAGGGAAGGTGATGCTAGCTGGCAGGACCAGGAGGGAAGACGATGCCAGCTGGCATGACCAGGAGGGAGGGAGCACGATGCCAACTGGCAGGATTAGAAGGGCAGACGAACGCAGAAGTATGAACCACAACGCGCCAGCATGTCGTTATTGATCGTTACTGAAAACACTCTATAAGGTATAAAAAGTTTATGTGTAAAGCGCAGTCATCTCTAAAGGCATTAGACCTCTGCTAACCTGTTAAGGGTGCCCACGTTTACGTGGTGAGACGAGCAAGCATTAACAGCACATCCAGCCGGGCAAGTCGTCATCTACCGACAGACGCCAGCAAGGGACTTCCCGTTAAGCAAGTCAGCATCTACGAACGAGGCAGCTTTTTTACACTATATTTTAAACTTCACTGGAATGTTGTCTCCTATTTGAATCCCGTGAGTTGGTGCTTGGCATACTTTTCCGAAAAATGTGGAAGATGCTTCCATAATGATTTGGTTCGCTCGCATACGAGCTTTGCCAACTCGCCGGTCAATTGACTTGCTAGATGCAATCACCGCATAGCGTCTGCTCATATTGCGGTGTTAGGCGAAATAGCTTTACCATATACCGTGCGTTTATTTGCCCATGTCACTGCGATCTCGGGTCGTCTGTGACACACATGTCCGCGAAATCCGGCCTACCCTGCAGCTGCGTATTCTCGGCAGACTTGTCGACCTAGAACGTGCGGCCAGGGGTTTGAAGTTTATAATCTGCAGAGTGATGCTCACTATTATGTTGCTACCTGTGGAATTTTTGACAGCTGTTGTGTATCTGCAGCAGTGGCTCTCCGGAGATGGTATGGAGTAGGTGGCTGTCAACTTAAGGAGAACTCTCTTTGAACAGCAATGGCTTTTGGCGGGAGGCAGCATCGGGTGGAATGTGTCTGCATACGTTACGCCAGTGTTGTATACGGGCCGTAATATCGTAATAGAACAATAAAGAAATGAACACCCTCTAATTACCCGAGATGATAGCAGGAAGGTAGGGAAATGACACAGTGCGAAATCATTGGCTTGGTGCAGAGATTACGTGCCAGGCAAAAACAGTGCATGTGTACGCTAGACACTGTACGGTGATGAATTGAAGACGTTGCCCCATATAGGCAATCTTGCAGCGCTACTTTACGGGCGATGCAGGAAAATTGGCATGCCGCGTCCGTAGATTCGATTAAAGCAGCGCTGAATCTAGCCTGATTGGCGCAATCAATCGAACACCGTCTGTAGTCTGTAGCCATCGCACATCTGTCACGAGCTGCTCGAAACTGCGCGTCAACTAAACGTTTCATGGAGGCGTCACCGCTCACTCGGCAGCCTCAGCCGGAGGTTTTTACTCCTAAGATCAGCCAGCTGTACGACGAGGTTTTTCAGGTAAGCCGCTGTATGCGCCCTCAAGCCGCACGGCTGCTAATTGTTCCTGGCTCAAATAGGTTCGGATCGCTACTAAAGACCCGGCTACGTTTACCACGCGACTGACCTCGAACCGTGTTACAGCATGCTGAAGAGGGACGACAATCAAAGGGCTTCTGGAGGGAGTTCTTCCTCTTGAAGCCAGACCTCGCCATCTTGCGGAAGCTACTGCAGGACACCCCCCCCGCGCATATGTTGCTTTTGGAGGGGCAGTCGCAGGAGCTCTTCAGCGAGGCCATTGACGCCCTCAAATCTGGCCGTAGCAGCGCGCCACGAAATGCCCTGGATGTGAGTCGACTGATGAGATGCAGAACCCCATGGCAACCCTAACAACTCTCCCCAGACCTTGAAGGTGTTTTTGTCCTGTGTCCTGACGAAACGATATGCTCACCCGAGCTCGGCAATCATCGCGCTACTAGCTGGGCTGGACCGCATCGATACCGTCTTCACAGATTTTGTCGGCACCCTAGACGTCGCAATTCGGATGGGAGACGACTGTATGTATCTTTCTTGGAACCGCCTGCAACGATACCCGAGTGCTCATTGCAGGACAGTGGAACAACGACACAAGGCGATCGGTGTATTGCTGGCCATTACAGCTGGGGCATACCAAACGACGTTGCTTACCTATATGATACAAAGGGACTTGTTTCCCGCTGTAATCAAGGTTAAACATGCAATCACCCCACCTGCCACACACGCGGCTGATGCATTGCTAGTTCATCCAGGATGCCCAATCGCCAGCCATGGTCTTGGAGCCTCTTATCCTGCTAAGCCTGCTGGCCAACTACAACAAGTTCGAGTTCCAGAACCCTTATCAATTACGATTGAACGACTTTATCAACGAAGGCGCCATGACGACCATTGTTACCTGCATTGGCAAGGCTTCCCAGGTGATTCGCGCTGATTATATTGACATCCAGGATGATTTGCCGGAAGGCTGGACATTTTCCACCGCACTTGGATTGCTGGGACTTGGTGCTATTGCACCAGGTACGAAACAAGAAAAGAAGCCGATATACGACGCTGCGACCGCCAAACAAATGTTCACAAAACTGTGAGTATCATCTGCCCACTCCAACGAGGACTCTAATGACCCCGGCCTAGCCCAAAGGAACGGGCGGCGATGCTGCTAGCTGCATACGACTTCAGCCATGCGAACAAGTTGTTCTGCACTAGCTTTGTTACGGCCTCTAGCGACAAGGGAACTGAACGGCCCATGGCGGCATATTTATCCCTCACATCCTACCTCCTCCAACATGCGCACCTGTCACATCGCTCTACTTACTATGCGCATTTGAACCTAATGGTATTCCGTCTTCTGATAGAAGACCAATCCATCTGTAAGATACTGTGCAGCGATGAGTACAATATGGCCGTCCGCCTCTGCCGGCATAGGCCACCGTTCTTACCCCTCGTCAAAGGTGAACGAGTGCTGGTATGCTCGCTTCTCGACACGATGATTGATGGCATCAATCACAATCTCAGAAAAAGACTCGATGTATCTTTATACACTCTCTGTCTGGGCATTTTACTGCGGGTCATTTCGTATGTGTCGCGGTCGCGAACTCGGCTACAATACCATTGGGCGGAATTTTTCAGATCTCTGCTTTCGTTACTGCGTTTCCTTACTACGTACACGGCGGACTTGCAGGACTTGCCTCATATGGATACCCTTGTTGATCATGTGGTCAACTTGCTCGCGCTGTCGCTCTCGGCCGGCGAAGCGTTTCTTCCCACCCCTGCCGCATACGACGATCTTTTCTACAAAATCGTGGAAAGTGGCGAAATTTTGGGCAAGTTTAAACAAAACTATGGACTGGGAAAGCGGGTTGGCAGCTCGATTGACACACTCATCAATGTCAGCACGCATTACAACCAGCTCCTTACCGAAGGCGGTGGAAAAAAGAAGCCGAACAATCTGACGACGACGCAAGTGACTGGTGTTATCAAACAAGGTTATGAAACTTTGAGTATTCAAGCAAAGGAGGGTCTTGATTCGTGGGATAGGTATAGAGAAGCTGATGATCGCATTTTGCTCAAAAACATGACTAGAACGGCAGTCGCTGATGTTTGCGAGCTGGTGGACGCAGAGTAATCTTCAAGGGTATATACAATGTAATGCAATCACGGAGAAACCCGGTATTAATTAGCCACTTTACTGCCAAAACTCGCATTCGGTAAGGTGATTGTTGAGACTATTCGCTCTATCCACGTGCCGAGGGCCGCCGTGTCGGATGTGAATGTTCAAGTCCGGCGTATTCCCATGCAGTCTCACTTCGGGGCCCAGACAAGAGCTTGTTAATTTCCTCGACAGGACCCGCGTCGTTTGACATTTGACATGAAGGGCGCGCAGATGGCTTGGTGACTGACGTTAATATAGCGGGCCTGGCTGGTATCAGTTAGGCAGGGTAGGCAATAGTCGCCCGTTGGCCCACAGCGCCGCCAAAGAAGTCCATCCTGTCACCCCAAAAGCCAGCCGCCACCCACATCTGTCGACTGAGTTTCTCTTGCATACCGAAGCTCTTCTCTTACCAGAATTCTCTCACAAATCAACATGCCTTTCGCAAGTCAGCAAGCAATGGTTGTCATGGCAGTCACGGCGAACAGCAATGATAAACGGAGCAAAGGATTGGATGTAGGTGAAAACGCGCCTCCTTCCATTGTTATAAAGTGGTATCAAGTTTAAAGGGTGTACAGCTAATATGATCAATATATAGGACACTCAAAGTAGAAAAAGACGCAACACTCTGGACATGGTCTACACGCCGAGACACCAATGACGCGAACGCAATCGAGAACTCAACATGTGCCACATGCGAAACTGCAACGAGGCTTAGAAAAAGGCATGAAGGACACGTCTCCAAGCAGGGTATGCAGCAACCTGTGCCCGGAAAGCGTTGATCTCTTCCCAGTCAAGCTCACGGCGCCCGGTGTCGACATCCATTTGGGCAATGGAGAGCCAGCCAGTACGCTTCCACAGGAAACCGCAGGCCCAGAAGAAGAGAACGACAGGAAGCGCAAGGTATTGCTTGAAGAAGCCCTCGACAGTGCCCATACCAGACTGACCAGGAGGGGCGACGATGGCAGTATAGAACTGGGCCATGAGGACGATGAGAATCAAGAAGAGGCCGAGCCATGAGCCAGCAACGCCACCAGCAGCCTTGAAGGGAATCTCATCCAGAGTGTGGCCGTGGTACTTCCAAGCGGCACGGAATCGAATATGGGCAAGGCAGATGGAGCCCCAGGTGAATAGAGCGGCGAGGCCAGAAAGAGCGAGCAGCCAGTCAAAGACAACAGGACCAGAAGAAGCCAAGCTAATAAAAGCAAGGAATCCAAAAGCAATGATGACGAGAACCGAGAAGAGCGGACGACCGGACCTGTCGATATAGCTGAAAATTTTAGGGGCGTATCCCTGCTGAGCAAGAGCCGTGAGCGTGCGAGAGCCACCGTAAACGCCAGAAACACCAATCGAAAGGACGGACACCAGAATCACGACGTTCATGAAATGGTCAAATCCCTTAAGGCCGGCATACTTTCCAACAAGAACAAAAGGTGAAGCCTTGGCATCAGCATAGGCGGAGCTGGACAAGAGCGCATCGTCATTCGAGTTGATCAAAAGGCCGACGAAGAAGAGACCAAGGATATAGAAGAGGGTGATTCGCCAGAAGACCTGCTTGATAGCGCCGGGAAGAGCACGGACGGGGTTGTGAGATTCCGCAGCGGCCAGACCAACCAACTCAGTGCCAGAGAAGGCAAAGGCAGCAGTGACGAAGACAGAGCAAAAGCCTTTGAAGCCGTTCTTAAAAGCACCCGGGTTATACCAAAGCTTGGCTCCCTGATACTCGCTGTATGCGCCGCTGCTTGGGCCACCACCAAGAACAAGGACGAGGGCAATGATCATGAAGACAACGGTGGCTCCGAGCTTGAAGATGGAAGACCAGAACTCTTCCTCAGCATACCCAAGAGCGCCGAAGACGTTGATGATGATGATCAAGACGAGGAAGACGACGATCCAGACAGCAAGCGAAGTATTTTCGTCCCAGTACTGGATGGTGATACCGCAGACTGTTAATTCGAGGGGTAATACGACGGCCCACTGGAAGACGTAATTCCACCCCATTGCGAAACCCCAGGAAGGATCGATGAAGCGGGTCGAGTAGGTATAGAAACCACCAGAGACGGGATACATTACGGCGAGCTCACCCAGAGCATAGACTACACGGGAAAAAGTGGTCAGCCATCGTTGAGAAGGGCACGAGGGAGCAAGCCAGGGTCCAGGACAGCTCTAGCACAAGCACAAGCACGAGCTCGACGCGATGGGTGACAACTTACCGACGTTGAACATCATGACACCAATGATGAGGAAATCGATGAGAACACTACCGGGGCCCTGGTGATGGGATGCACGTCAGCGATTTTGGCCTCATTTCGGGGGACCCAGTCGGGACGCTGCGGTGCACACCCGTTGCGGAAGCGCACGAAGTGATACGGCCGCAGTGTCGCAAGATACTTACACCCTTGTACAGAGCACCGCCGGAACCGACGAAAAAACCAGCACCGATGGAGCCACCGATGGCAATCATATGCAGGTGGCGCGCCTTCATCGGTCTCTCCAGTTCTACAATGCCCTCGCCATAATGCTTCGGCTTGAAAGAGTCAATGGTGAGGCCAGTGCGAGTGAGGAAGCTCTCTTGAGAGTACGAATCGCCAGTCTCCTTGGGAAGGACCTGGGACGTGCCTTCGTATTCGGGGACAGCCTCGCCCTTTTCAGTGGCGATGATGCCGTCTTTGCCAGACATGATGGGCGCGCTCTGTTGCTTTCAAAGAGTGAAAGGGCAACCGAAGGGAGGGACGGAAGAAGACGGAGGGAGGGGAAGGAGGGAGCAACGGAAAATGAGGATGGATAAAGAGAGTCTGGAAAGGAAGAACGACAGTCCAAGGTTGGGGGGAAGAAGCGCCTCTTAAACGGAGGTGCCGCACGGAAAGCTGGAGGCTTTGGTTGGGAGGGTAGGACAACGCTGCAATGAATGCATGCATAAGGAAGCTGCCCTTCCAGAGGTCTGTCATACTGCTCTGCTCCCGAGTCGGCTCGTGAGCTAACGAGTCCAGACTGGGGCACCTGGAAACGGTGGCGTGAAAGCCAAGAGGCCAGACAATCAGACTCGGCAGGGGACTTTGGAGGCGCGCATGGGGAAATGGGGAGGGGAAAGGGGGGGTGTGCGAGGCGGAAGGGGGGGTATGGATCAAATTTGGAGGCTAACTACTGACTTTCTGAGGGCAGGCAAAGGCAAATCGAAACCGAAGACGGCTGGCTCAATCACAGACAAGCAAGCGTTACGAATTACGGATTACTCTCGCGACAATCGGTGGTGTGGACACGCCAACAGTCTTTGCGCCCCATTACGTTTCTATTGTTGGGCGGAATAGGAAGAGTGCTGGATTTGTGCAGAGTGTGCAGAGGCTAGGCAGGCTGTGGTGTTTTGCGCCAACTCGAGGGACGGACGAAGAAAGGCTTCGGGCTTCGAGAAGGTCTTGGGCAGTGTCCCGATAGTTAGACCAGAGCGGACGGGGCCAACAGTATCAGGACCGCTTGGTACGGATACTTGACGCACTGGGTCCGTCCTCTGGTCAGTTCGCCCTGCGCGATAACTAGCGAGCCAATGCGAGATAACAAAGGCCACACCGATTCGACAAGAGCAGCCGCACCGGATTGTCTCAAAGAGCATCCATCGCAGAAAAACCCGAGACATAGTGCATCGAACTCAAGTTGAACCGCGAAGCTGGCTGTTCCATCGTCAACAGTCAACAGCGTCGTCGCCTGGGCAGCGAGAGCCACAAGCCTCTGGATTGATTTTGCATCTGGGCGCTGCAGATCTTGGACCACAGGGAGCTACTAAAGTTGGTCCACGAGGTACTGAACCCCCCACCCCCGTTTCCCGCCTTTGTTGCTCGTTCATCAAAGATACCAGTGGGCTGGGGCCTGGGGCCTGGGGCAGCGAAGCAGCCTCGCCACCAACTCCAGAGCTGAGATTTGGCGTTGCCAGGCGAGGCGGGAATTTGTTCATCGTCGCAGTTGTGTGGGCTGTTTTCGTCCCCTTCGCCCCGTTGCAAGCGCAAGCGTCTCTGCCTGAGGACAACTAACTACATAGTGCTGCGATGGCGCGCATTGCGCCTGTGTTTCCAGCTCGCCTCGCCTTGCTGGGCATCTCACTACATAGCGACCGGAACCGATGGTGCCTCCACTGAAGGCCATCTCGCAAGGGCTGGAACCTAGTTACCCGCGGCGCACAGATTACGCCAGTCCGGACGATAGACCCCAAAACGGAATCGTGACTTGGAGGCGCGTCAGCAGGAAAACGCCATTCACCATGCGCACCCCCGGAGTGCTATTTTCCGCTGTCCAGGGCGCTACACGAATCCGGGGAGCAGCCCCCTTCCTTTACCAGCCAGCTGGAAGGTAGGCTGGTAACTATTAGTGCATTACCCGTTGTGCACTGGTAACGACGTGTTGCTTTTTTATGGACGACAGTTGGGCAGCCTGACTTTGCGCCAAAATAGGGAGGCAGAAGGGGTTTCCGCTCGTGGTCAGACCATTCTCCAAGAGAGGCGATTGTGCTTGCGCCAGAGTCCTCCAGGGCGGGCGCGACCATTGTCTATTTCCAGGCTTGTTGGTATATCTGCGGGGAACGGCGTTGCCGGGGACGCCCAATTGAAAATGAAGCAGCGAGGGGTTGTCGGGCCTTCTAAGTTGTCGATAGCGCATTGTTGACGCCTCATTTGGGTGCCCACTCCGGAGTATGTGTGTTGGGGGCTTTATCAACCCCCCATTCTTCTGAACCCCGCACATCTCTTTGAGTTGCGAAATGAGGGGGCAGCAGGCGAAGACTAATCATCGCGATCCAATTTGTTCCAGTACCAACCACTCTGAGCCGAAGTCTTTCCAGGGCGTTTGCCCCCAGAGTCGACACTCAAGAAATCCGCCGCTGCTGTACATTGAGGGCAGATCAACATGAAAGCATCGAGTTGGACGAAATGATGGTCGACTGATTAGGTTTTCACAAGGGTGTGAGGCGCAGCCCCGGACAGCGTTCTATGCAGCCTTCCAACTGCCTTCTGCAAGTCGCCACCTTCCTCTTTGTGGTGTGAGCTGCAAGCCTAAATCCTCCAGACAGGCTCTATCTGCGCCACTTCTTGGGCACGTTCTCACATGTTGCAACCACCACAAGACAGGTGCAAAATCAAGCATGGGCACCTGGATTTGTGGGATGTGTACCCAGCAGACGCCCTGCCGCCCGCCCGTGGTGTTAACTTATAAAGGACTTCCTAACTAAACCTTGTTCCCAAGCCTAACCGCTAGCTAGCCTCTAGGCGACTTGGCAGCAACACCAGACCAGCAGCCATGGCTAGGAAGGGCTTGCAGGCAACGTGCCAACTGGCCAGAACCGACGGAAAAGACTTGGTACAGACAAACGCCCCTCGCTTTACTCCGGGTGGTCCAAAAGTAGCAAGCCACCACGAGCTGCTGCAAGATGTGATCTCGGCGATGCTGAACAGTGAGAGGAGCGCTGCTTCACAACAACTCGTACGGATACTGTGCTTATCATCACGACCCGTACGTCGGTCGATTGTTAGAAAGCACTGCGGAGTCGGACAGGCTTGGCCGCTTATCAGCCAAGGCCATTCACATGTCGGAATTGAAAGGGGAAACAAGACTGGTGTCTCCAGAAGCCAAGAGTCAAATTCCGCCAAGTTGCCACCGACAATACAGAACACACTCCTCTCTGCCATTCGGAAAAGACCCGCCATACTATCAAGAATATGCCTTTGTCGGCGGTCATTGACGAAATGCCAATGCAAAGCTGAACTGCTACAGGCCTCCGCAGGAGTGGGTTAGAGATAGCAATGTGACGCTCTGGCCAGCGATTGTAAGCTACGAAACCGGGTCGTGCGTGCCGTTGGAGCTATTTTGTCAGGCATGGCGGCGGATATAGTCAGAGGCATGGCCCCGTGATGCCATGCAGGATAAGGACGGGGTTCCGTGGCGCCGGGCTTTGCAATGCAACCTGGCCGTGCCTGGAGCTCACTGAGAGGCGCATGGCACCGTGTAAAACGCGGCGAAATGCCGTCCGGCCGCAAAGATGCGCTACTCGGTACGCCAATCGAGGCCCTGAGCGTAATAAGAATAGTCGCGCATTCTTGTCATGATTGAATCGCGGGAGGCCGACGCAGAATCGGGTTGCGTAACACCATCAACGGCTCAACCCTTTTGGCTGGCTACAAACCATGATCCATTCAATTGTACGTAATACATTGAAAACGAGGCTTCGGGGACTAGCCTGTCTCATAAATTACCCATGGCGTGGGCTGGATTGGCGAGGGTGGGAGAACGGCTAGATCAGCACAATGCCCAGCCGTTTTGGGCAATGCTAAAGTTGGTTATTAACCCTGCTCAACATGTGGCGACTGGGCAGAACAAGTACTGGAAGCCGGGGAAAGAAGCCTATTTTCTTCTCCAACCGTTTACTCTGTGTTTATAGTTTCTAGCGCGGCTTCGGCAATACTCTGCTATGCAAATGCGCGCCCCTCGACGACCAATGGCCGCAAGCAGCTGCAGTAGGGAGTCTTGGATCTGGCCTGGATAACTTCCGACAGGGGAGCAGCGCCATCGAACGTACTAACTAACACAGCGCTAAAACTGGCGGTACAAGAACTACGCACAGTTACACGGCGATAAAACTTTCCGCGAGTGCCTCTCTCGATGCCGAGTTTGTGTGCCATGGCTGTATCCCCATCCCCAAGGATGCAGTGACGGCGAACAGCAAAGCGTCTCTACATGACTATTCGAAAGACGTGAGAAATAATACGATTGACCAGAGTGGTCCGGTTCAACCCACTGGGAAGACTGGGGAAACCCACCGCCCAAAAAACGGACAAGACACACATGGCTCTCATCGTCAGAGCCATCCACTTCCCCCCCGTATCCACCAGCGATCTCTGCGGGCCTTTGTTGGTGGCGATGGAGCGGTCAAGTTTGCGGGCTCAATACCAGTAGACTGGACCACTTCCCCAGAATCTCATGCAAGTTTGAGAGGGCGCGTACGAGTCACCATGACGTCCATTCCCGAAGATGAGGCTATACAGACAGAACGAGCGCACTTTCGGAATGCAACATGGGCAAAATAGAAACAGGTGGACACTGGGTGGGCTTATTCTAGAAGGGCCAGCCACCTTTTCCTTCCTTCTCACGCCATGGCTTCTGGAACGCCCGAGTTACACGTAAGATGGGCTTCCAAAACGCCGCCACCTGCAGCTAACATGTCTGCATCAACCTGATCCCTGGGTGGCTTCTTTTTATTCTCAAGCCCATCTGCAAAAAAAGTGGCCGGACGAATTACATCACTAGATATGAACGCCCGCCAAGCAGAGCACCACTAGGGGCGCTCGGGAGGGGCACTCAAGGCCGGCGCAATCCCTTTCCTGCCAAAGCAGCCAAGCCTCTCTCACCATCCAGCTTTCTGCTGGCATGACGGAGGAGGACGCAAGGAAGGTGTGTGTGTGTGTGTGTGTGTGTGTATGTGTCTTTGAGCCGTGATTGGAAGCATACTGCCCCTCCCCCCCCGCCTCTTGGACCACTGGGCATCACAACGCGCGTGACAGATGGTGTTGACAACGTTGGTGCGTCTGCCAAGAGAGTCTGTGGCTTCGGAGCTACGCAACAGGATATGTTCTTTGCCTCCGGGGATTGCCCTGTAGCTATCCGCATGCTCATAGCCCGTGCCGACGACTACTCCGTCGCTGGTCACCGCTGCCTGGGGCTGGTCTAGTCTCTCTTGACAACCTCGAACTCTGGCCGAGATTGCGTTTACTAACTTATTGGAACGGCCACTAATGCATGCAGCCTGGCAGGACGCTGCCCTTTACGGCTGCAGTAGGGTCTACCAGTCCATTTTCACTGTACTACCAGTAGGAATACACACGGAGGGTATACCGTCGCAGCAGGCCAAGACTTTGCAATTAGACGCCGCATGGTTGCATTTGCAAGGCTTTTGCTCATATTGCAACTTTCCTGCGACGTTCCGTCCCCTGCGCCACGAGAACAATGGGCTATAACCAGTAATAGCACCCCTACCCCTGGTTATGAGCGAATTTGATCATCCATTTCATTTGGAACTTTTGCTTATTTTAGATGCACGCCCTCTCCCATGACAGGGATCTCGTAATTTTCAATCTGACTTTTTAGCGAAGGCAGGGTGCGGACCGCGTTCGCCATCGTCTCGACAGGGAAAGGCGCCCACGGCTTGGAATAAGAGCATGGTCCATTTTTTCGCTACAGAAGCTGGCGATCCTTACTGTATAGAACAAATGCCCTGATCTTGGTATATGGAGTAGCGCTCATTTGTCTACACGCCATGTGGTACATAGTTGGCCAGCCCAGAAAAGCGGCGGCGGCGGCGGCGTCGGCATGAACGCTCGGTCAGGATCGGGTTTATTTCATCGCAACAAGAGGCGCGGAAGCCAATTCCGTCTTGGAACGATATTGGAAAAGACGGGGGAGTAATTTGTACCAAGGCTGGCAAGGCAAGAGAAGGCGCGCGCGCCACGTTTTGCCCTGAGTCGTGTTGCCGCTACTCAGCTGAAAACAGGCCTGAGGCGGTTTTCTGATCTGCCCAATGGTCGTCGAATGGGCATTTTGAGGCTGGAACAAGAGAGGAACGAGCCCAAGATTGATTTTCCGCGCGTTTTCGACTAGTGAGGGATAGTATAGAAGGCGCATGGAAGCTGTGGATGCGCCTGTCATCTGAATGACTGGCCTCGTCGTTGGATGATACGAGGACAGAGACGTGGAATTGGTATTGAGTGCGGTTCTCGACATGTGGCCGGGTGTGAAACTTGACCGTTTGATCCTCGGTTGGCCAAGTGAGAGAGGTACGAGTCAGCGACTCGAGGCAAACACGAAAGCTGGACGGATATCGGCAGATGGTGCTTTGAACATGACTGCATCAGCCTCTTGTTTCTGTTGCTTGGGGGGGGTCCTGGCCTAGGGAAGTTGACAAACGAGTCAATCCATTACGTATCTTGTCGAAAGAAGGCAGGCATCTCGAGGTGGTCAAAGATGTTCCTGAAGGGGGGCCGTGACAAGACGACCTCTTCCCGTTGCCGTTCTTGGACCGGGGCACTATGGCGATGAAATGCGCGCACAGAGCATCTTTCCCGCTCTTCGGCTGCGGCACCAGACAAGAGTGCCAGAGCCGAAACTCTCTTGCGCCGAGAGTCTGTTCTTCGCGGCTGCGGACCGTGTGCGGGAAGAAGCAGAGTGGCGGCAAGTCTCGTCCTCGACTCCAAGATGCTCCCACTCGTGCTCATGGCTACTACACAGTAGTTTTTGGAGGACATGGGCTACTGGACCGCTGGCGGCTCTATGTGAGTTCGGCAAGCATCGCTCGTCGCGGGAATGGACTCGGACGCAGGGTACATGCACCACACGACGACGGAGCAGTCGTCTTCTCCCAGTGCTGGACGACCAGGGTGAGCATGGTTCGTTGCCCACCGCCGTGACCTTGAGCTCATCTTTGGCGGTATCGACGAGGTTTTGCCACCGACGAGGGCCCGGAGACCCTAATCAATTGCTCCAGAGCCATAGCCACGGCTATGAATGCACAGACAGTCTCGCCCTGCCCGCGGCGACTCGTAAACCGACACTACGGCTGAATGGTCTACATGACAGCTAGACCCTACCTAGGCATTGGCGGAGGACACGTCCCATCTGCGCGTGAACTGCGACGCTGCGCATCTCAGCCGTCTCACGCGCCGTGGTTATACATGTGCATATATCTGCTCTTCCCACACGGCCTCGACCTCCCTCGACAGACCAGTTGTTGGCTTTTCGTGGGCGGGTGTTTGCAGCAAGGTCTCGGACAGGCACAGTTCTTGGGTTCCCGTGTCTTGTTGTGCCTTTCTGGTATTTGGCATTTGGTAAAAGAGTTGCTGCTCGGGAACGCAAGTCGCCTCGTTTCATCGCACGAGGTGAGGCGTGGCAGCGGCGAGAAACACACACCCTCTCTCCCTGTTGGGACTGCCACAGGCCTTTGATGGCGCAAGATGTGACGTCGATCTGTGCTGCCCCTCTGCAGCGGTGTGCTGCTGCTGCTGCGTCATTGCCGGTGACTGTGTGGCTTGTGTTGCGTCGCAGCGTCGGCCAGGCCGGGAATATACACGAGACTGGTACTACTTTGTTTCGGCCGGTGTGGTGTCACTTGTTCAGGCCGGTGCTAGTTGTTAGACTGGTGGTACCTTTTTGAAGGGCATTTCAACTGTTGCACGCTGCTGGAGTGAGTAGCACGGTAGTTACACAAGTCACGAAAATCGTTGGGGGTGGACATGTCTCAAATGTTTGTTCAATTTTTTTTTTCGTATTGCATTGCCCATCATCCTTGACCGCTTCTAGTAGCGAATCCTTCTTGTGTATTTTGCCCTCTGACGAGTGTCAACAAGACAGTCTGTACGCGCAAACTAGGCAGGTTGCGCAAGTACAACCATTGCGATTCCTATGGGGCACGAGAGCCACGCGTTGAGGGGATCTCCGGATTTCAGAGGGTCGACGTCGTGTTCGTCGTCGCGGATCCCTGCTTGGAGGCCTGAAACAGAACTATGAAGAAGGAAATGACGGTCTTTAGAAATTGCGGCGGCCAAGATGATCAACTTGGCCGTTGGCCAATGTCATCACCTCGGCCGACGCGCACTGGCTTCGTAGAACGAGGAGACTGTGCACAAGAGTTTCCGCGCAGAGAGTGCCAAGGTCGAGGACGGGGGGTGGTTTTGGGAAAGACGGGTAGCATAGCATGCCCGTGGGACATGATGAAAGAAGGGATTGCGCGTGACTTGTCCGCAATGTCGAGAAGCCCTCTTTCCGTAGACATTCTGCATTACATATTGACAAAGTCCACAGCGGCAACTCCAAGCCAAAAACTTTTGTCAAGATGCTTGATTCGAGGGGGGGAGATGGGTCGTGGTATATGAGTATAGCCGGTAGGGCTTGAGTATTGGCCAATTGGTCAATTGGTCAATTGGCCAGCATTGGTTGAGATTTGCTGGCCGGCTTTTCGGTGGTTGGTGAGGAGGGAGGGAATTGATTGTAGAGGATGAGAAGATTTTGGCCGAGGTCGAGGGAATAATGATGACAAGCACTGGCACCCGTTTCGTGTCTACGGCTCATGAGCGTGTTGCAATTCTTCCCTCCAGCCGAGCTCTCTTACCCTTTTCCAATTGATTGGACAAAGGAAGCGAGCGAGGCGCGGGTTTATTTAGCCGAGGAGAGCAGCGCCGCCGGACTCGACGGCCTCAATCTCGGCGAGGTTGATGGGCTGGCGGCGGAAGCGGGCGGGAAGCTCGGAAATGTCAAAGAAGACGCCGTTGGGGGCGTCGACGGCACCCAGCTCGGCGCCGGAGAGGCCGCCGATGCCCGCCTCGCCGGAGCGAACAGTTTTTTGAAGGGGGCCGTGCTGCTGGGCGTGGTCGCGGTAGGAGCTGAAATTGGCGTGACGGGCGGCGCCAGAGTCGGCGGCGAAGCCCTCAGGGAGCTTGCCCGAGGGCGAGGCGGGGTGAGGCTTGGGGGTGTGGTCAATGGAGGCTGCGAGAGGACTCGGTTAGCAGAGAGGTGATGGGCACGAGAGGAGGCGAGAGCGCGCAGCGCGGATTGGAACTAGGAATTGAGGGCGGCCGCTGGGATAGGCATCGACGTACAGGGAATGGAGCGAGGACCAATGAACTTGATCAAGGGCTGGCGCTCGGCGTGAGCGGCAGCCTGGCGGAGAGCGCGCGTGGTGAACATGATGGGCGGGTATGTGTGCGGTTTTTTTTTTTGGTTCGACGAGAGAGGTGAAACGATAGCCTTGTAGGTTTTCGGGTTAAGTAAGGTACGAGTAAAATAGGCGCGAACGACGAGGACGGAGAAACGACGGCAGTGAGCTTTGGTGGGGTCGTCTGTTTGCGGCTACTTGCGGAGAGGCGGAGGGCTTGTTGAGCAGGAGGATGACGGCGTACGTGTTTTTTTTTCTTGGATGAGATGATGAAGACGAGATGGGATGTACAAGAGGGGAGAAGAAGAAGAAAGGTTAGAGGGGTGCGGGAGGGGGGAGAGAAGAGGGAAACGGGAAACGCTGGGATGAATAATGTTTGTTCAGAGTAGAGGAGTCGGACTTGGGGACCGGTAGTCGGGGTTGTCGGGGTTGCTCCACGCCTCTTCTGTCAGGTCATGTTGTCATGTTGCACACGAGGCACGAGGAGAACTGTCAGGCCAGGCAGCCACATGTACTGTATTATTATTAATTAGTTGGGGAACGGCCGGCCGGAGGGAGATCGGTGCCGAACGCGAACGCGCATTTTCATCTGCTAAATTCTTTTTTTCTTTCTTTTTTTAATTGTACGAGCCAACGTTCTACTGCAGCCAGTTGCGGATTTTGGTGGAGATGAGGGTGCTGAGAAGCACGCCATTGGTAAACTAGCACGTAGTTTTGGCGCTATTTCGCCTTGTCTGGCCCGTTCTTCTGTTGGAGAAAAGCAGGGCAGCAGCTTGCCAAAAAAAAAAAAAAGTTGGGTAGCAATCGGTTGGACATAGTTCCTCCGACTTTCGGCAGGAACCTGCGGCCGTCTTCTTATCTCTATCCAATCACAATCACACATCTACGTCCCCGTACATTTCTCTCGCTCCCCGCGGTCGACAAGGAAAAAAAAAGAGAAGCATACTAGTTAACTCGGCATATGTCATGTTGGAAAAAAAAGGACGAATTCTCCTTCTTGATCAATTCATCGTCATTTTCGTTCTTGTTCAGTCTTGCCTTGTAATGAGCCATTTTTCTATATTCTTCTCTGCTCATCAAGCATTGCTCGTAATCGTTTTGAATCCATCCATCTCGTGCTTCAACCCCATGTAACTACCCACCCAAAAAAACATGTGAGATGGAACCCCAAAACAGCCCATGCCCTCCCCGCAACGGGCAGAACCGGAGAAGAGGAACGTGCATGAGACAAACCAGCATCAGATGCGAACTATTATTCCCCATCCCTATAGTCTTCACCAACCATCTCCATTCCGTCAAAGAGGTCAAGCCAGTCCTCAAGTCTCTCTTTAATAAACTTGTCAAGCTCCCATGGCTCTGTAGTCAGCATGTCTTTATCCCCAACCCAAACATATATGTCGCCTTGCACAGTTTCTCCCGTCGGGTGGCCATCACTGCCAAGAAGGCTGACAATCGTACTTTCCACTGCATACGTTTCGCCCTCGAAGTCGTCCAGCTTCTTCCTTTGGGACCTCGTGTCTAGTTGCAGCAGATACCCATCAACGCAGTCCCCTTCCTCGGCACTTCTGATAACTGCAGGATAGTCGCTATGCTTGACGGCTACTCGAGTGTATTTGCTGACCTGGGCAGGTCGAATCATGTCATCGAGATCATCGACTCGTGAGGAGTCGCCCAATACAGCCCATGCTAACAGCGGTTTGGCCCGAAGAGTGCCGTAGACGAAAAGCGGGCGTGGAGCACCGACGCTGGCGCTGCATGTGCGGCTTGAATCCTTTTCTGTGCCCTTTTCCACCTCACAGCGGCGCTGCTGCATTGCTACTTGTGTTTGTCTCGTGATTGGGTGGACAATAACTAGGCCTTTGGTGTCTAGCCGGCGTTTGCTCTTACGTCTCCCGAATGCGCAGTCTTTTTTGGCTCTTGATTAACCGATTTCGTCGAGTCGGAGCCGGATCAGTAATTCTTTCCAAAGGCGTGATTGTCGTTCAGGGTCACACTGCTATTTGTTGTTTTCAAGGAAATATTTCTTGCACAAGTTTACTTTTAGTGGCTGCCTGATACTTTGACAGTGTAAAGTCAGGTGACGCCACTGGCAGGCAACATAATTTGAACATATTCCGTGGTGCAACTGAAAACCTTAAACAGGACCTCGACACTCACGCGAAGTATATATTTTATATTTTTTTTCATCCTCTTTCAAAAGCTCGGTCATCGAAATTCCGCATAGCTGCGGAGCTCATCTCTTCCTGCTCTGTTGGGGATTCCAGGTGCAAAACGCGTGAAAAAGTCATTCAAGTCCTCTTGAGCATAAAATAAATAAGCGCAGTTCTCTAGATACTACGCTTGAATCTTATTAGCTATCTTTTCCTCTTAATCTCATTTATTAATATTACTTCTCATCTAGTCGTTAAATAGTCTATTCACAGCATAATCAGTCTTAATCCAGTTTTATAACATAAAGATGGGACGGGGTATTGTCTTCGACAACTGCTGCGAGGTAGATCTGCGAGAAACCTCCTTCGCCCCCCCCAAATCTTCGGGAAATATCGCACCATACTCTTGTTCCCCAAAAAACACAAGGCGCTGGCACCGGGCGGACCGGCGGACATTCTCATCTGTGGCGTCATCCCGCTCCCCATCACCCTATGGCATATTGCCGAGCCGAGTAAGCTATTGGACCAGCTTCCCGTGCGCTAAACTATAATCCTTTCCCGTGGCATGATATCCGCGGTCCTTGTATGTACAGTGGTGAAAGTAGGGCAGCCAAACGATAGTTAACCGACCCCCCAAGCAGGGAACTCGGCTTCAGCTCTTGTCCCGTTCACACCACCTTCATCTGCTCTTCTTGCAAGCACCTTAACCCGGCTGTCGCAACTCCGTACACGTGCAGTCACCCCATCTACTGGAACATCGCCGGACTGTCCAGAAAGCTGTCGTCGTCTTACACTTTGAAGTGGTGACCTGGGGCGACCCTGCCTGTAATGACCTACTCACAGTGTGCGACGCTACTATACTTGTCATTCCAAAGTGATATTCATCATAATTCATTCTTCTATCGGGTACGGAGTAATATAGGTAATTTATTCAACAATACCAGACAGCCCCTCCGGAAAAGAAACGCCCATTCCCCTATAGGGATAAACAACATGGCCACCCGAAAGGCATTGGTCAACATCCAATCGCCACACAATTCCCTCGCCCACATCAGCGCACTCATCCTTGCTTGACCTTGGCCTGCACAATCTCGACACACTCGTTGGGGTCCTCAAACACATGCCACGCTTCCTTGGGAATGTCTTTGAAAGCCTTCTCAAACCGCGCCGGTTCGTTCTTCTCCCGGAGTCCAAACATGGCCGTGTCGGTCGCTTTGCGGATGAGGATGAGTCGGATCCAACCTGGGAATGTGCGATATCTGTAAAAGTCAACGGGTCAGCAACCTTTTTGTGCATCGAGAAAGAACATAGACCGCGTCAGGTGAGGATGCTTGTAGTCTTGCCACTTACATTTCTCCGTAGGCCTCGGGGTCCGACTGTGTCGAGTCACCAATCACAATCAGCTTGCGCTTGGGCAGCCACCCATAAATCTTCTTCATCCGGTCTACCTTGTACTCTTCCGTGCCCATTGTCAGGGCCGCCAGCAGCCCTGCAATCGTCTTCCAGCTCGTGTCGCGTAGGATCAGAGTTCCCCGTGGATAGTGGGTGTCGCGGAACTCGCGCAGAAATGGGTACAGATTATACGGTGACGCCGACAGGTAAAACCAGGGTGTGTCGCTTTTCAAGATGCCGTCAATCGACTTGTACAGCTCTGGCATGCCAGCCACGGGGCGCGGTTCCTCGACAAACGTCTCCCGGAGGATACCGATAGGATCACTTGTCGTTGTTACTTTGATGGTATCGTCGATATCTACAAAGACTGTCAGTTAACAGAGCTCTGGTCACACATTGCCGCTTTCTTGACTCGTACCAGAAACGACGCTCCAGCCTGTCGGTCCGGCGTAGTAAGTCTGCAAGCCTAGCAGGCCCGGTATTCCGCTCGGAAGATCAGCCGTCGCCTCGACCGTAGTGCCCTTGGAATAGCTCGCTACCTGCATGACGTTGGCGCTGACGCCGTTGAAGCCCGTGGGGCCAAGCTTGATGCTCCGGCGCGCGCCCTTTTGCGTGACCGATACCGTCTTGGCGACGCGGACGTCCCAGACAAACGGGATCAGACGCTCGTGGATGGTCTTGCGCTCCGCGGCGTCGTCGGCGATGCCGAGGACGCGCGCAACGCCGGCCACGGCTTCGACCAGGTGCGAACGCTGCTCCTGCTCAAAGACGGCGGTGACAAACTCGGCCTCCCACGAGGCAGAGAAGCGGCCGCCAGTGCGGTACGCCATGTTATCGAAAAGCCAGACGACATCGCCGCGGGTGGCGGGGCGACCGCCAAAGGGGTTGAGGCTCCCGAGGACGCCGAGGACGCCGGCGAGGCTGAAGCGGGTGGTGAAGCCGGGCGTGAGGCCGGCGACGGCGGCGGCGCTGGCGGCGGCCAGCTTCTGGGGGTCGGGCAGCTCGGCCTCGACCTGTTCAAAGTTGTTTTGCTTGCGTGTTCGTCGCTGCATGTCGGCGGCAATGGCCGAGGGGCTAAATATGGCTTCTTGCTGCGGCGGCCGCTGCGGAGGGTCGGCGTTTGGTTCACTCATGGTGGGCAAGAGGAGACGGGCGCGTCTCCGAGGACAGGCTCAAACTGAAATAGGTTGAGGGAACAAGGCTGTTTCTGTGCCAAACAGCCGTGGACGTTTGTTCGCGGCGACGGGTGATGTGCTTGCGTGCAGAGGTTTAGGGCGGTACTAGGCAGCGAAAGGGTCAGGTGGTAGGAGAAGAATACGCGCTGGCACCTCGTGGGCGGACAAGTTGAGCAGCAAGTAGGTATACAAAGAGAGGCGACGAGTGAGGTCGGGAGTCAGGAGTTGAAGGGAGGTGAGTATGCTGTCATCGATGGGCGTCGCGAGGCCAACCCTGATCTCATCACATGAGGGGGGGGGGGGGCTAGAGGAAGGGGCTGACCTGGCGATGTCACTTGTCTGTTTGACCACCCAGCTCCGTGACGATCTTGATGGGGTCAACTCTCAGCCTTGCATCCACCCCATGAGGCAAGCTGCGGTGGGCGGGATTGTCGACAATTGTGGTGTCTGCCTTGGCTGCCATTTTGTAGATTTTCTTTGATTCCATGTACAATAACTAGCTGTTGACCCTGTGCAAGCAGGCAACTCAACGCTGGCCTCTCATTGGCCAGCGTGTGGGTGGAAGACCCACTTTCGAGAGCTGTGGGCCTGTTGATCCCAGCCATCGAGGGAAGGCAGCGTTTGTGTGTGTTTATTAGTTAGTCAATCAATCATCAGGAACCAAATTGACGTTATTATTGCTTTGTTATTATATTCGAATATACCTTGATTCCAACAATAGCAATGAGTTTGCAGTCTTGCGAGCGGTAGCAAGCAGAAGGATGAAGCAGCACCGGGCCGTGCCTTTTAGCTTTGCGCGAGGCCTCGTGTCAAGTTGTACTTGAAATCCGCTATGCCTATTTAGATGGCCCGATGGTCACCTGCTGTTACGTCACTGCAGGTAGAGCGGCAGAGGTGCAGCAGATCTGCCAGGCAACAGATATGTATGTACAAAGTACTGCCTATACCTATTTGCAAGCCAAAATTTACGGCTCGCTTGGAGACATGAAAAAGAGCAGGTAAAAAATAGAAATGAGACGAGGTCCTCGGGAACACATTTTAAGCTCGTGTGCTCTGTAACCCTGTAACCCCCCCCTTCCACAGCTGTCCCACACACCCTTACTCCGCGCCACCCAAGATATTTCCTCATCAGGCAACGGCGTAATTCATTCGGCTCCCCATTTAAAGCATAAGAAGAACATTTACGCGTGTCGGCGCTCCCTGCGTTCCGCCACTAGGGCACGGGAGATACGAACGGGCGCAACATTCCCGTCATGGACGACGCCTCTAACACGACGGCGAACATGAGGCGCTTAACGGCGGAAAGGTTTCAGCGCCATGATGGGTTCCATGAATTGGTTCGGGTGGTTCGGGTGCTTGCATGAATTGGATCCATTGCAAGCCCCTGGTTCCTGTGTCTCAGTGGCAGCCGTGATGTTTGTCTAACTCATAACGAGCGGGCTGTTGGCTACAGCCGACGTCCACCTTACCGGCCGCGGTTTTGGTGCTGACAGAAGTCGACTTTCTGGTATTTATTTATATGATCAACTCGGCACTCTTTTTCTTTTTTTTTTGCAAGCAAGAAGGATAAACAACCTCGACATTCTTCACCTGCCGAGCATACCACATCCCTTGCTCAACAACACAACCGCTGACTCAAAAAGGATATGCTACAACGATACATTTTCCCTGCCATGCTTGGTTGGCTCCCTTGGTGGTTTGCTGCTGCTGCGCTGCCGATGCTATGTACGGTTATCCTGGCCATGGCCGGCCTCGTCTTGCAACGACCGAAGCTGCCAGAGAACGCACCAAAGCTCATCACGGGGTGGCCCATATTGGGTTCTATCGGCTTCTATTTCTGGCGTCACGATTTTCTCGAGGGGCAGCGAAAAAAGCATGGAGAACAGCCATATACCTTCTACTACGGACGGTATCCCATTGTGAGCCTAGCAGGCGAAGCTGGTAGGGCCTTTTTGTTTACTGCACAACAGCTTAGTTTACATGCAGGGTATGTCTAGTACAACTCTTCTCCTTTTTTGTTTTTGGTTGCCAGTGTCAGCCATTTGCTAATTGCACAATATGCAGACATTCTGCCCTGCTCGCGTTACCTTCCCGTCACCAGACGGAATCTGCACACTCAGTGCGAAGTCAGATCAAATTGTTTAGAAAAATCCTCACCCGCGAACGGTTTTCTGAATCACTACCTAGTCTCGTCACAGACACTGACTTGGTATTCCGCCAACTGTCTATGAGCGGCAGAGCAGTGCCATTGTTCCCGGTCATGTGCCGCCTCATCTACCAGTTGATGCACCGCGTGGCGGGCATCCACGAAGTAGCCGAGAGTGACAAGCTTTTGGACTCGAGCTTGAAGCATTTTTCCAGCCTTGAAAAATGCACGGCTTTGCAAGTCATGTTTAACCCCTGGCCGCTGCCGGGGATGCTGTCCAAGTTGTGGGCTGCCATTAGTCTGCACCGACTGGTGATGCGCGTCATGAAGGAGCGTCGCAAGACTGAGCGTGTCGAGAGGGACACGTTGCAGTTACTCATGGACTACGGTGAGGAGGATCTTGAAATAGTCAAGGTAAGTTGGCACTCTTCTCTCTTGGTTCCCGGTTCATGGGCTTACCATGTTGAGCCGCAGTGCATTATTAGCGTCTTGTTCGCTGGCCTTTTAAACACTGGGATTTCTTCCACGTGGCTGCTCTGCTATCTTGCCGAGAATCGGGTGTGGTATGAACAAGTGCAGGCTGAGGTGGACATGTTCGTCAACAAGAACCGCAGGACGCCGGAAGAATCTGTGCGTGAAATCTTGCAACGAGTGCCCTACAATGACTGGGACACCCAGTTTCCCAGTATTTCCGTCTGCTTGCGGGAGACTCTGCGACTCGGAGTCTACCAACCTGCCTACCGAAGAAACATGTCGGGAGAGGATGTAGAGATTCCCGGGACAAATCAAGTTATCCCGAAAGAGTCTTTTGCGGTGAGTGGGCGCGGCGCCTAGTTGGCCAGAGTTTCACTTGACTATGTATTGACAATGGCCAGTTCTTCTCTATGGGCGAGGTCCACATGGATGAGACTATTTATCCCAACGCTTCCGAGTGGGAACCAGCTCGACACCTCGCCGGAAGAGAAGAAGGTGCACATAGACCTCATGAATTTGTTGGCTGGGGCTCTGGCCTACACCCGTGTGGTACGTCTAGTCTACATGGAAGATGCCATTCCGCCGATTGACCGTACTAACATCTGAATAGTAGGCTCCAAGGTAGATATGCCGTAGCGCGAACGGTGTCTGTTTTGTGCTAACATGAATAGGCCGCGACACTCGAGATTACTGTCGCTGTTGTTACAATGGTGGCCCTGAACGAATTTTGGCTCGTGGAGCGAAATGGAGAGGCGAGAAAAAGACGTCTGCCACGCGCCAACAAGAACAACCTGAGCGTCAATTTACCCACGGAAGAGATATACCTCAAGTGCAGCCCACGGACCAATAAACATGACGGGCTATGAATGGTTCATGTTTTGAATGAGGACAGTGGCGCAACAGGGCATTGGGCTTGGTGTCTTTACCATTCTTCCTTGAGAAAGAATAGGTTTCAGATTGACGACAACTTCATTTGCTTGTGCATCATGTATAAACCCCAATTTCTGATATTCCCACGTGGCAAGTGTTGGTACATGTATATGCTTATCTTGGTGTCAAGCCACAGCGGGCCGAATCTCTTGGCGCCAGGAGGCTCGGTGAACGAAGGCTATCTTGCTCAGCTTGACTGAAGAACGAGTCAATAGTTATTGAACTGTTGCGTTTTACGTGACCGCATACAGGTGATGACAAATGGTTATATATACTGGATTATGGCGTGGAGAAGAAAGAGAAAGTAAAGAATAGTACGAAAGGAAAAGGGAAAATTATAAAGAAAGTCGCTCATACGTGGTTTATTCATTGCCCAGTACTAATTAGTGAGGGTGGCCCGGTTTCCATCAGGCTATTACTGGGACTTGCCCATACCAACTAGAGCAGCTTGTTTGGCGATGCACAAGGAAAGCGATAGGCCCGTTTGCTCTCGTCCCCTATCAGCAAGCAGCCTCTGCCAAGAAGCCGGGGTTGTAGGGTACCTACATGAGACCTCTCTGGAGCTCACACAACCTCCACAATACACAATACATCAACATCTCCCTCTCTGCATTATGTAACAGGGTGCTCGTGAAGCCCCAGCCCCTCCGCTACAAGGTTGAGCTCACGGCTATTGAGACGGCTGCTATGCTGCTGATTTTTCGGCATCGGCTGAGATAAAAAGGAAGAAATACTTTGCACAACTTATTTGTTCTTGGCAGACGTACGTTTCCTCGTCCCACGTGCAAAGCATCCGACCAAGGCTACCAAAGTCGCATCTGAGACCCTCTGAAATTGCCCACGTGCCGCTTGGCAACCCGACGGCGTCAACTTCAAAAGTTCGTCAACCCGCAAACCTTGGCTCTCTCCACCCTTCCAAGTATTTTTCGGCCCCGTCCGCGAGAGCCCCCCCCCCCCGGTCGGCCGCCTCCGTGGTCCAGGTACTAAAACTAGCTGAGCCGCCCGCATCCCGTCCCGCCGTTGCATTCGTTGTCCGTCTTTGACTACCTGCCCTGCCGCCGACAGACGCCCCCCCCTCCATCATGAAGACTGCTGCTACTCTCCTCGCGGCCCTTGGCGTTGCCTCGTGTGCCGCCGCCGATGATGTCTTATACAGCAAGCGTCACCTCTCCAAGCGCTTCATTGACAGCGATGGCCACTACAACATGAGTAGGAGAAGACGAAATCGGTCGAGAAAAGAAGCCTCGCTAATCTAGGAATGTCAATAGCCTTTATCCACGTCAATGATATCCACGCACATCTGGACGAGTTTGCCAAGTCCGGCTCAGACTGCACAGACCCCTCCAAGGGCTGCTTCGGTGGCTATGCGCGCATCAAGACCAAGGTCGAGGAGCTTCGCGAGACGTTTCCCGACCACCTGCTCCTCAACGCCGGTGACGAGTTTCAGGGCACCCTGTTCTTTTCGTACTATGGTGGTGAGAAGATTGCCGAGACAGTCAACAATCTCAAGTTTGACGTCATGACCCTGGGCAACCACGAATGGGATCATGGTGACGAGGAGCTTGGTGCGTTTCTCACGAACCTGACTTTCCCCGTCGTCTCTTGCAATGTCAAGTCCGACTATGAGGCTCTCAACAAAACGGTCAAGAACTACCACATCTTTGACCAGCACAAGCTGGCCGTCATCGGCGCCACCACGGAGACGACCAAGGGTATTTCCAACGTCGGCAGCGGAACCAACTTTCTCGATGTCACGACCGAGGTCCAAAAGGCCATCTGGGAGATTCGCAACACGACCGACATCCGCCGCATTGTCGCCCTCACTCACATTGGCTACGAGGAGGACCAGAAACTGGCCGAGAATACCGAAGGCCTTTCCCTCATTGTTGGCGGCCACAGCCACACCCTGATTGGTGACATGCCCAACGCCGCTGGAAAGTACCCTACCATTATCAAGGACAAGTCTGGCAAGGAGGTCTTTGTCGTCACCTCGTACCGATGGGGCGAGTATCTCGGCTCCATTGATCTGACCTTTGACAAGGAGGGCCGCGCTCTCTCGTACCACGGTGCGCCCATCCACATGACCAACACGACGAAGCTCGAAACGTCGCTTCAGGACAAGATCCTGGCTTGGCGCAAGCCCTTTGAGGAGTTTGGCAGCGAGGTCATTGGAACGACCAAGAACGAGCTCGACCAGACCACCTGCCAAAAGGGCGACTGCCTCCTCGGCCAGGTCATGGTCGACGCCATGCTCGACTACCGCCGCAACATTTCCAAGAATGCTGGCGACGAGCTTGCCGACTTTGCCTTTATGAACGCTGGCGGTGTCCGGGCCACCATTGACGCCGGCAACATCACGCGCGGCGAGGTCATCACCTCATTTCCCTTTGGCAACGCCGTTGTCCAGCTCCCCTACTCGGGCAAGGACCTGCGCAAGATTATCGAGGGCTGGGTCTCGCGCGAGAACCAGTTCAGCAAGAAGAAGACGTCGTCTTGGTTCCAAATCTCCAAGGACATCAAGATTGAGTACAACCCGGACAACGCGGCCGGCAGCAAGCTGATTAGCGTGACCGTGGGCGGGAAGCCGCTGGACGAGAGCCGTGAGGAGTACCGGGTCGTGACGCTCGACTTCATCGCGCGTGGCGGTGACAATCTCCTCGAGCCCACGACGGGCTTTGCCGCCCTTGATGCCGATTCGGATGTATTCGAGGCTTACGTCAAGGCGAATACGCCCCTGACAAACGCTCTCGAGAAGCGCGTGGTCACGACGGATAAGAAGGCCCCGAATGCAACTTCGACTCCCGGAGGCAACAATGCCACGAGCACAACCAGCTCCGGCAGCGGCAGCTCCAGCACTGGTGGCGCCGCGAACCCCAACGGCGCTGCTGCGGGTCTTGCGATGTCGACTGGCCTTGCCTTTGTCGTGGCTGTTGTCATGGCTTTGGCGATTTAGTTGTAGGGATGAACTGGTGGATGAATGAGGGCATGACGATGAACGGGTACCAAAAGTATGGATGAATGTGTATGCTTGGTGACTAGACTCAATATATGTATATTTGTATATTTGTACAAATTATATTTGTATAAATGGTGAGGTGGTTGACTATGGTGTTGGCTGCCAGGATCTCATCTCTCTATCGATAACCAGGGGCGCGACCCATTCTCACCAACCAAACGCGCCGCGGGGACCACATAGAAAAGTCCCCCCTTTCCTTATGCGCAGAACATCTTGACTGTATTAACTATTAACTAGTTATCATTGCGCCAAGTCGATTATGAGTAGCTCGGCTAGCTGCTAGAAGTATGGAGCTCAATGCGACCACTCGCGCTCTCTCTCAACCGCACATTGTGCAGGCCATCTGCAACGAGCTGCCCGACGACAGTCTTGCCGTCGCAGCTTGCATCAACCACGACTTCTTCGTCTTTGCGACCGAGACGAAATGGAACACAGAGCCGCCTCTCTGGGCTCTCCAGCAGCGCGTCCAGCTGAGCCGGCGGCAGCTGTACGCCTCCAAGGTGCGCAGCTTGGCCCTGGACGACATGGCTATGAGGAAATATCTCCACGCATGTCGCAAGGTGCACTTTAGCGGTATGAAGAAGCTGATCCTCGAGCGGTACGGCGTTGAATGGGTCAGCGACGACAGCAAGATGAACTATGGCTTTATGCACCTGTACCTTCCCGAGCAGCTCGAAGCCCTAGTGCTGAGCGAGTGCAGCCCGACCAACCCGCTGCTTGGCGCATTGGCGGAGAGATGCCATCGCCTTCGCTCGCTGCGACTCCCGGCTTACGCTCCCAGGTTCGATTTTGAGGCGCTGGCCGCACTCATGGCCGCCAACCCTCTGCTCGAAGAGCTGGACCTGCATCCCCGCATCTTCAGAATCCGAGAAGTGTTGCCCACGCCGCTACTGCTGCAGTGCGCTCGCCAGAGGAATCTGCGCTCCATCAGGCTCCCCAGCACAATGCAGGCGTCTGCGGAACAATTTCGGCGGATCGAGGCTGAAATCTCAGAGCCCTTCCCGGCCCTGCAAAAACTGGCTTGGGCTGATCTGCCCTCGATCGCTCTCCCTTTGCTCAGCAAGTGGTGTCGCAACATGTCTGAACTTCTCATCAGTATTCATGACAAGGACGTGCCGGTTCTGGAGGCACTTTCTAACATGACAAAACTCAAACAGGCGCGGCTTCATGTCCCTCAGGAGATGACAATGTCCAGATCGGAAATCATGGCATTGACCTCGCTGCAACGACTCGAAGACTTTAGCTACACGGTGTACTCGTCGCGCATGTCCACGACCGAGTTCTCTCTCACAGCAAACGAATTCGAGAAATGGATTGCCCACTTCCCGGCCTTGAGGGAGTTCGAGATGGAGGTGGACGTGCGACTGCCGCGTGGTTACGACAGCGCCCTGGCTACCCTCGCCCGCTGCTGTCCTCATATAGAGCGGCTCAAGTGGCCAACCCATATAGACTTTTCCGAGCTTGATCTCGAGTCGCTGAGCACGCCTCTGTTTCCCAATCTCCAGTTTCTTACCGTGTCATTCGCGGCCACGGATGTGTACGAAGAGAAATTCCCCTAGTGAGTTCCCCAAACGATGGCGCGCACTTGTCGTTTTCTGCTGTGGCTGACGTTGGATAGTAACTATTCAAAGGAAGAGGTGGTCAAGGTCCTGTGCCATCATTTCCCCAAGCTTTTCCGATTTACCATACAGTCCCCAGATGGATGCGAGGGCGTCGAGATCATCAGAAAGGCGTTTCGCACCTACGAGGACAAGAATACTCCCAAGAACTGGGATCCCTGGGCTTGAGCATTGTGGACAGGAATTGAAGCAAAATACCACAAAAGTTCACCTATAAGCAAGACGGAAAGAGTTCCTCGACGAGATTTACAGCAGAAGCATGGAATCTTATTGTTAAATGCGTCTATAAAATGGAATCGCTGCGTATCATGAATGTCTAGGATATACATGTAGAAGAAATGCAAATGCATGTGGCCGCGGCGGCTCTATTGTCTCCGTTGCAGCTTGCCCGCTTCCGTCGTCTCATCACGGGCCTTTTTCAGGAACGGCACCAGCGCCGTGCCGCCTGTGCCTGTCAGTTGCTCGTCTTCATTGGCCGTCGACGACGAGCTCGCGAGGTTGTGCGTGCCCCGTTTCCCCTGCCACGGCTGCCTGGAGGGGATGACGATGTAGCGCGTGACGATGGAGATGTGCTTTTGGCGAAAGGCCGTGAGCGCCGTCGTCGCGGCCGTGTACGCGTCGCGGAGGCGCTGCGGCGCGGCGCCGACCATGGCGAGCTCGCGGATGCTGCCCATGCGCGCCACCTGGACGAGGAAGCGGCGGTGCGGGCCGGGCATGTACTCGCGGACCTCGTCGTGAAAGCTGGCGTGCTTGCCGTCGCCGTGGCCGCGGTGGTCGACGCCGAGGACCACGTCAAAGAACTGGATCAGCGAGCTCTGGCCGTTGCTGCCGCCGCGCAGCTGCCGCCAGGTGCTGCCGGCGGCGGCGCCGCCCTCGTCGTACAAGACGCCGCGCGGCAGGCCGGCGGCGGCCATGTTCTGGCTGCCGGCGAGAAAGGGGCGGATGCGGTGGTAAAAGGTCATGGGGTCGCACTTTTCGTACATGCGCTCGAGGAGGCGGGCGACGCTGTCGATGCAGCGGCGCAGCTCCTCGAGGCCGCGCACGACGCCGTCGTAGTCGCGGGCCTTGACGGCCTCGAGCGCGGCCGTCATGGTCTGCAGGATGCCGGCCGCCTTGGCCTCCATGGCGACGCTGATGAGGAGGAACCACGACTCGGACTCGGTGCCGGTAAAGGAGAAGCAGACGGAGAGCTTGTCCAGGTCGCTAAAGTCGTCGCCGTCGCAGGTAAAGTTCCACAGGTTGGCGGCGGCGTAGGTCAGCACGGGCGGCAGCTCGACGTGGGCCGACACCTGGAGGAAGGGGACTGATATCTGCGGCGGGAGAATCTGCAATGGAACGAATTGTTAGCAAAAGTGACTTTATTGACAGCAGCTGCTTTCCAGACATCCGAGAACGCACCTCTTTGGGCTCATCGCCGCCCCATACATAGGCGTGCGTCATAAAGGCCAGCATGGTGTAAGCCCGCCGCCACTCTGGTTCGGAGGCGAGCTTGTCGACGGAGAGCACCGGCAGCTGGTCAATGACATGGCGTATGGTGCCCTCGTCGATCAATGCAGCCAAGTTCTGTCCGACTGCTTCCCACGGTGTATAGTACGGGTGGGACAGGACAGGAACGGGGCTCTCGTCAGGCAGGAAGGCGTTTCTGGTCACGGCAAACTTTGTGAAATCTATACCCTGGTGCGGTGACCCCGGCGTTGGTGGCACGGCGTGTGGTGACATGATGATGTGAGCGTCTGTGAGTGTTTGTGTAGTATGTTGGTGAGATGTATCGTACACAACAACAGTGGTGGGCAAGGAAAATGCAGTACAAGATGGGATAATGGAGTAAAGAGGGCACTATGAGGGTGGGAATGACATGCATTTAATAACGAGCACGAGTTGGCCAGTTGAAAGAATGGGGCAACAATGACTGGCGACTGGCATGTATCACGATTCTGAATATGCTTACCGGGTACCGGATGTAGTGGCCGTGCTGGGACGCGAAACCCACCGAAGGACCCAAGATCCGTCATCCGCTAGTGCACCATCCGAGCAAATTACTATGTCGACCGACGGCTTCTGACCGAGACGATCAAGCAACTAACTACCGAGGAACCTTGCTTCCGTTGTGCGAACCGTGCGGATTCTATCCAAACTTGGATAGGAAGAGAGCTGTCAAACTTTATCCTCTATAAATGATAAACGGCGGTTCTAGTCCATGTCTCAGTAGAAAATAGCATGTTCCTTGTACCTAGCAGTCGCGTAAGTGTTCCGGAGCAAAACTTGTACCAGGAGTAGTTGATTCTGTCTGCCCAGACTCAGCACCCTGGATCGAACGACCTATCGTGCACGACTATCGGAACAGGGGTGTGATGAACCGCAGCCACTTGTAGGGCCCTTGCTCACCCGTGCATCCGCCACGGGGGCCTGCATAAGAAGCATGTAAGCAATCCCAGCACAGGAAAGCAGCCGAGTCATTTGGTTCTAGGCATGTTTTACTTTGATCCTTTTCTGGGCGTCTATTGAGTTGCCAGTGAGACAATGCGACGCCAACGGGACGCCTACAAATTGGGTCCCTGGAAGGTTAGGCGGTAGGCAGGTATCCGTACTCCGTATAGAGTACCTTGCGGAAAATCGGATAGCGGGACTTCGGAAGCAACCCGACACTACTCCGTACAGAGTAATTTGTACCAACCACCAACCACCTCCACCATTCATCATCGACGATTCTCCCCCACCAGTCGTCGACATAAAGTGGTTTGCAAAGTCGTCACTTTCGACCTCTTCTTCTTCGTCTCACGACTATGCGACATTGCCTTTCCCGCTTCATCCAGCCTCCGCCCTCGTCTCTCCCTGCTGCCCTCATTCCTCTCCGCCTTCCCGTCCCGATTGGTGCCACGTGCCGTCGTCGCTCTCGCCTCCTCTCCACCACCACAGCATCCGTAGCAGCACCATCCATGGATCTGCCTGCTTACGTTGAGCGCCTCCGTGGCGGCGCCCCGGCCAAGTTCCCGGCCGATGCCAACTCGCTCCCCTTTGCCCAGACGCTTGACTCGCAAGACGCGCTGCGCCATCTTCGCTACGAGTTTGTCCTCCCGACCAAGACCTCCATCAAGAAGACGGCCCTGGACGGCACCCTGCCTTGTAGGTTCAATGAAAAGCTCCTTTTCTACCCCCGGTCCCCATTTGTCCCGCCTTTTGCTGACCAGCCAAACTTTTTACCCGTCAGCGACCGCTCAGACCAGGACAAACGGTGCTAGCACCACCAACGGCACCGCCCCGGAAGAGGATCCCGATGTCGGCATCTACTTTGTCGGCAACTCCCTAGGCGCGCAGCCCAAGGCGGTGCGCCGCTACATTGACGCGCAGCTCGAGACATGGGCCTCGATCGGTGTCAACGGCCACTTCAAGACGCTGGAAAACTCGCCCCTCACGCAGTGGCAGGACATGGCCGAGGCCTGCGCCCAGCAGTCGGCCGACCTTGTCGGCGCCTCCCCCAACGAGATTGTCATCATGAACACGCTCACCGTCAACCTGCACATGATGATGGCTAGCTTCTACAAGCCTGATGCCAAGCGCCACAAGATCATTCTCGAGTGGCGCCCCTTCCCCAGCGACTATTACGCCATCGAGAGCCAGATTGTCTGGCACGGCCTGGACCCCGCGACCAGCATGGTCAAGATTGAGCCCGACGCCAACTCGTACATGTCCACCGAGACCATCCTGGCCGCCATTGACGCAAACGCCGATGACACGGCCCTTCTGCTGCTGCCCGGCATCCAGTACTACTCGGGCCAGCTGCTCGACATGCCCACCATTACCAAGTACGCCCACGCTCGCGGCATCGTCGTCGGCTGGGACCTCGCCCACGCCGCCGGCAACGTCGAGCTCCGCCTGCACGACTGGGACGTCGACTTCGCCTGCTGGTGCACGTACAAGTACATCAACGCCGGTCCCGGCGCCATTGCCGGCGCCTTTGTCCACGAGCGCCACGGCCGCGTCGAGTGGCCCGCTGGACCCGACGCCGCCCCCACGTACCGCCCGCGCCTCACGGGCTGGTACGGCGGCGACAAGTCGGTCCGCTTCAACATGGACAACAAGTTTGTCCCCACGCCCGGCGCCGGCGGCTACCAGGCCTCGAACCCCTCGGCCCTCGAGCTCGCCAACCTCGCCGGCGCCCTCTCCGTCTTCAACAAGACCACCATGCGCGACCTGCGCTCCAAGGCCCTCGTCCTTACCGCCTACGCCGAGCACCTCCTCGACGGCATCCTCGCCGACGCCGAGGGCGACGCCCCGTTCCGTATCCTCACCCCGCGGGATCCGCTCCAGCGCGGCACGCAGCTGAGCGTCATGCTGCGCGACGGCCTGCTGGACGACGTCACGGCCGCGCTGGAGCTCAACGGCGTGCTTTGCGACAAGCGCAAGCCGGGCGTGATCCGTGTGGCCCCTGTGCCTCTCTATTCCCGATTCGAGGATGTTTGGCGCTTTATGCAGATTCTGCGCGGCGCGCTGAAGTTGTAGAGCCCCATGTGGCATCATCTCGTCGCAAATCTACGCGTATCAAAAAAAATAGCATTAGACAGACTATATTAATGACTTGAAAGAATTGAATGTATTATACAAAAAAATCGCACTATCGTCTGCTAGCCATTGCTAGCCGTCACCTTGCGTCTGGGTCGCGCTGGCTGGTCGTGCTCCGCTTCGGATGGAGTTTGTCATGGCTTCGGAATTTCGGATGGTGGCGGTCCTCAACAAGCTGGCCGTCCCACATAACCTGCCTTTTCTTTGATGGGACGTAAACAGTAGCCGTAAGAGGCTGCTTAAGATCGTGTCTATCCGATTGTAGCCGGCGTTTGGCGTCCGAGCCGCCATCCATCAAGGTGGGCGGACGAATCTTCCGATTAGAGTTGACACCTAGAAATAATGCGCCAGGTCAATGCCGCCGCCTGCGTCCAAGAGCGGGAACAAGTTGACGGCCGAGCCGGCGCCGCCGTCCTCTTCATTGACGCCAAAAGAGTTGCCCCAGTAGTCCGCGTCAGGGGTGTGCAGCATCGACTCTGACAGGCCGAGGAACGCTGAATCAATGTCTCCGAGGCGCGGCGATGCGGCGGCCGTCCCGCCTCCGTAATGACCGTCCCGGTCCGGGCGCCAGTTGCTGTTGCGGGGCGCCTGCCACGGCATGGGCGATGTGACCGGATTACCTCGTAGCAACGCACCGCTCTCTGTCCTGCTCGGCGCGGGCGTGGTGCCCAGTGTCGCTGCGGCACGTCCTGTCACCGGAGTTCGTAGCGCCGCGGCTCGATGGCTGCCCGCATCGCGCGGCGAGTTTGCACTGCTTGCGCCGCCGCCGCTGCCGAGCGATGGGCGGGCATCGTGCGGCACGAGGCCAAACAGCTGGCTCGAGCTCTCGGTGCGGCGCATGCGCTCCTGCATCTCCCGTCGCTCGAGATCCTCGAGGGCCGTCGTGAGCAGCGACTGCGCGATGAGGCTGTACTGCGTCGCATGGCCGTCGGTCCGCGCAAAGTGGTCCAGGGCCTGGATCGACATGCGCGCGTACTTTTCCAGGATCCGGCCGAAGCCGCCGAGCAGCCCGACGCCGAGCACCAGGGACGCCGCAAAGAGCCACGAGACGAGCATGGGCGCACGGTGGCGCAGCACGTTTCGCTCAATCAAGTCGAGCACCGGATCGACCAGGAGGCTGGCGGCGTCGATGCAGGCGTCGGCCAGCTTGGTCTTGCCCGACGGCGAGCGCCCGGCGGCGGCCGCGTGCGCCGGCGCGTCCGACAGCCGGCGATACAGCTCGTACATGAGAAACGGCCGGGCGACGAGCATGACGGAGTAGTAGTACGTAGAGAGCACCTGACAGGCGCCGCTGACGCGCGCCTCGTCGTCGCCGGGCTGCGTGACGACGTCCTTGAGCTGCTGCAGCCAGCGGTCCGACCAGCCGCGCAGCTGCCGCGAGATGCCCTCGGTCAGCTGGAGGGAGATTGTGCGGCGCGAGTAAATCTCAACCACAATCGTCTCCGTGATGAGCAGGATCTGGACCGACGCGTTGAGCAGGTCGAGCACCTCGTGGCCATCGTCATCGAGCGCGCGGTATGACACGGTGCAGTCCACGTCCGACGTCGCGGGCGGGCGGCCCATGGACGTGCTGAGGAAGAGGTCGAGCGCGCGCAGGCTCTTCCACAGGTTGTCGCGCCGCCGGCGGACCGCCTCGCCGAAGCGCGCATTCACCTCGGTGCGGTGCACGCCAATGGCATAAGCCGCGCGTGCGGCGATGCCGAAGAACAAGAACGCGCCGTTGATCTGGCACGAGCACAGCATGTACATGGTGACGAGCACAAACGACTGCACCGTCTCGGCGCTCAGGTCCCCGCTCATGTCGATGTAGGCCCGGCCTCGCGCGTACTCAAAGTACTCTTGCGCCAGCAAATCGTCGTCGGCCAGCCGGCCAATGGCCAGCACGAGGTACTTGATGGTGGACGCGCCGTCGGCCGGCTTGTGCGGCTGGTCGGCCCACAGCAGCACGTCGTCGAGCAGCGTCGCATTGTCAAAGAGGTCAATCAAGCCCGTGGTAGTCGCCAGGTATGCCGATACGGCCGTCGCGACGTCCCCGGGGTGCACCGGCGGCGGGGAGCTTCCGGGCGCCTGTCCCCCGGCGCCGGCGCCGCTGCGCCGGC